ATTTTTATATTTTTCGACGACTAGGAATAAGGTCAAAAATCGTGTTTTAGGATTTTTAATTCTGATTTTAAGTCTAGTTTTTGTCGACATATTGGTGAAAAAATGATTATTTTTGACATTTTTCGCACTAAATTACCCATAATTCAAAATTGAGGCCATTTTCAAAAATCCCTAAAACACGATTTTCGGGACAACCGTTACGGTCATTTTGGGCCGTAAATGGGGTATGTTTGACTCTCCATGCTTGCAGGTTAAAACGAGTTTTGCAGACATGTCATGTCCACCAAAAGTGTGCATTGCGTTATTCATACTGGTGTAAAGAATCATTACGGTATTCAAGGTCACCCAAGGATACGACAGTAGCTTCGCTACATGTTACATGTCCACAAAAAATGATAGCGGACATGTACTGTCCAGGAAACTGTTTTTATATATAGAAAGGTGTTGTTTTTTATCTGTTGCAAGGCACGGAGGCAGAAAGGCTTGTTTTGCCGCTTTATTGTAAATGACCGCAGGTGACCCCGAAATAGAACGCGGGTTCGATTCGAATTGCCCAGATCGAACACGATCGAACACAGTTCGGGTTCTATGACATGTGGGAACTTTGCAGCCCAGATTTTACCACCGTGTGAGTTAGCAACGTACGTGTACGATTACGATACAACGTGAATACGATCTATTTGAAAACTTTCCAAGCCCCTGACAGCTTAACACATCAGTCATTAGAAATGGGTAAGTATTACGATGATGGGTAAGTAAATTGGTAAGAGGTAGCGGGCCGAGAAGTTGGAGCTTCAGCGCCGGAGGTAGCGTTACATGTAAAAGTGCTGATAGAGGTGAGTGAAGTCGCGCTTGAGTCAGTGTTCGTCGTGTTTCTCGTAACAGATTGCTTCAGCATATGGCAAATCTAGCTTATATGTATGCAGGTAATAATAAATAATCCGTGTTTAAGAACGCAAACGGTTTCCAATTCCTTCGGGAAGTGAAAAACAGGCGAGATCCAGGCGTTGACTGGCTTCGCGGGAGCCGTCGCCATCTTGATTTTGGGGTCAAAATTACAGGTCATCGGTAGTGCGCGTGCGCACTGTAGCTAGTGACGCAATCTCGGCCGTAGCCTAATCTGGACACATTCTGTACTGTTAAAGGGAGGCAAGTTTGCTTGTTCTAACACACCACAGGAACTGAAATCATGATGTACATACTTAGTATATCAAGTAAACTGATTGAGTCTTGGACTATCGTTTCAATGGCCGAATCAATCTTGAATATTACCTGTGTTAACTCCCGTGAGGTTCTCTCTCCCCTCCAGTCGGTATCCTGGTCCGTTTCCATACAGGATGTTTGTGAAAGGTTTGCCATCCAGAACAATGTTGTCCTCACTTTCCGGTACGATACCTAAACAGCAAATACCAATTATTAACATCGGTGAGCAAGCCGGGTACGATTGCTTGTTGATAGGGTTGCCGTTTAGGCAAGTTTGAGTGAAGTTCGTTTCCGATCCATGGCAAAAAGCGCTGTCATGCCACCAGTATATGCTAGTTAACAAGTGTGTGGATAAGGTAAAGCCTACAATATGTAATTCAATTGCATTCAGCCAGGGGTCCTTTCTGTACCCAAAAATACGCGCAAAATTGCTTAACACGTCCTTGAGTAAAATTGTCCCCACAGCAGTTTTGTGTGTTGATGAGTTAAGGTACCATTCAGACAAATGACTACTGACTAGTAGAACTGTGCCATATGTTGCATTTTAATGTAAGACGACCGTAATTTACCCAAAATAGGCGTTCCCCTGGGTGCGTATCCTCCGAAGGTGAAAGTGTGGGAGTGATCTGCCGTCACAGTAAACAGGGTTTCATCCAGGTCAAGCATGGTCTTCGCCGCGCCAACAGCGTCGTTAAAGGCAACAAGGTCATGTAGAGCATGGGCTGCCTTGCTTGCGTGGTGACCAAGGTCTATTTTTGAACCTTTGTGAACAGTAGGGAAAAATAAAAAAAAACTCCAACGATCAGAAGAGAACGCACCATTAATATAGAGCTTAACTAGAAGGTAACATTTGCAAAGCAAATAATGTTTGCTTCGCATACGGTCTGTTAATTCTTACTCAAACACGTTCATATACAGGATGATAGGAGTCTAAATCACTCCTGCTATGAAATTGCAACATGACGTGACCAAACACTAGTAACCATGGTGACAGCCATATGGTTCAGGTCATTGACTTCATTTGTTTGGAGAAGAGGAAGAAGAAACAGAGCAAAACGCAATAGGTTTTCCTTCTGCGAAGGTAAATATAACTAATTGAATAGAAAAGCACATGGAGCTATACGTTAGGTCCTACACAAATATGGACCAGACTTGACAAACAATGCAGTTCTAGAGTTAAAAGGGCACGTCGAAAAAACGTACTGCGCCTACGCACGTTTTTCGAAACATTTAGGTTAGAGATTATTTCAGAGGTGTCTTACCTTCAACGAATAGGAAGAAACCTTTGGGGTTCTTGCTAAGTATCTGTATGGCCTTGGTGGTCATCTCGGCAATGGTAGGTTCTCCTGCTGGGTCGTCCTCCCTGTCCAGTGAGTACTGCATGTGATCTGGCTGAAAAAGGCCTGAACAGGGGGAGGGGGGGCATTTTACATTCACATCACTGCATAATGCACTCGCATATGTTGCGTAGGAAACATCTCGATCATAAATATGCGTTCAAATTATACAGCACATGGATAAAACTTCATTCCCCCTACAAGCACTTTAACAGAACTCTTTTCTGAGTGGGTAGCTGCAGTCTTCAAATTAATATTTGGTATGTGGGTAGGCCTTGATGAGACCTAGAAACGATTATATTCTGGGCCGCTATCAGCTTGTTCTGCAACTGTAGAATCCTTTTAAGCCTGTGAATGAGGTTTTAAAAGTTTTTAAATCTATGTTA